GGTCTTTACTTTGCAGCTTTCAAGATGCTGTGGTGTCTTTGCACTGTTATACTTTTCGATATTGTAGAGTCCAAGTTCGGACTGATCTCATTTCCAATACTATAAGGTCTTTGCATTGATTTACTTTCTTTCTAAACATTTTAGAATCTTCCCATCAATATAACTTCCCATACTTTGCAATTCCCAACACAGCAGAGTCTTTGAACTGCTATAATTTCTAATTCTGTGGGGTCTACACTTTGCAATTTTCAGGTGCTATGAAGTCATTGCATTGATCTATTTCTCCAACTGGTGCAGGGTATTGCTTTCCAATAATATAACTCCCAAATGCCGAAGGGTTTACTTTGCAAATTTTGAGACGCTGTTGGGTGTTCATACTGATCCACTCGCCAATGCTGTGGGGTCTTCACACTGATGTAATTTCGCATTGATGTAATTTCCAAGGGCTGTAGGGTATTGCTTTCAATTGCTATAGCTTTCAAACATTGTAGGGTCTTCGCCTTGATCCGATTTCTAATACTGTAGGATTCAAGTTCAGATTGATCTAATTTCCAGTACTTTGGGGTCTTTGCATTTATCTAATTTCCAATACTGTACGGTCTTTGCACGGATGTAATTTCGAAATACTGTAGGGCCAGAAATCTGCAACTTCCGAATGCTATACGGTATTACTTCCCATAAATATAACTTTCAAACATTGTAGGGACCTTTCATTTATTTTTTCCGGATGCCACACAGTCTCACTCGCATCAATACAACATCCAATACCTAGGGCCTATACTTCCAATTCCCAATACTGTAGGGTCTTCCCATCAACATAACTTCCAATACTGTAGGGTCTTCGCATTGATCTATCTTCCAATACTTAAGGCCTATACTTTGCGATTTTTCAGGTGCTGGGGCTTGATGCTATTTCCAATACTGTAGGAACTAATAACTTACAGATACTTTCTTTGGTAAAGTTTGTACTTTATGTGGTACTTAATCAAATATGCTTGTTCGAAGGGTGAAGTAATACTAGATAATTGACAGGTAAAAATACATTAACTCACATATACTGACATATTAATAATATACATAAATAGTATTTATTATCTTATGTCCTCTTATATTCATTACCATATCCGGGAGGTAATTATAGTCTAATCCGAGCATTTCTCTTTTTCTTTTATTTATGATTATAAACGCAACTTATTTAGAACTAATCGGATTTGAACCGATATTATTCGCTTGCAAAGCAAATGATCTACTTATTGATGTATTAATAAATGTTGAAGTTAATGATGATATGAGCAAAAAAGTATGCTTCTTTTCATATTGCGTACATCATATTACCTGTTCTAATTTTAAATCTAATATAAGCAACTTTATTACGCATATTTATATTATATGTTGAATCAAATAGAGTGCATGCTTTATTAAGTATAGACTGAGTAAGTGTTTTCGAACTTAGCAACATTCAAGATGCTGTGCGGTCTTCGTGTTGACTTGATTTCCAATATTGAAGGGTCCATCTTCGCACGGCTATAGTTATCAACATAAATCCAAATTCTACACGGTCTCATCAATAAAACTTCCACTACTCACGCCAGACTCAATTCCCAACACAGCAGTGGCTTCCTTTAATATAACTCCTAAATCAGTTCACTCCAGGGAACTCTGGTTTTGTAAGTATTTCTCAACACAAATTATTGCAACTGAATAATATGTTTATAGCCATGGGTTGGGGCTCCAGGGTTGGATCAATTGATGCAAAAAATCAAGACTCTTCCATGAAGCGAGCCTCAAGAACTTGGCTAAAATATAATATAACTCCAATCCTGTATCTTCCAACATAACTCCATCCCACACGGCTCACTCTCAATACTCTTCCACTACTCACATCTAGACTCAATTCCCAGTAGGCCAGAGTCTTTGCACGGATATATCTCCAGCTCTTTTAGGGTCTTGCATATATAATTCCAAGTTCTACTCGGTCTTCCTTCCCACTAATATAATGTTCAAATGTTGGGGGGCTCTTATTGATTTGCCTTCGCAATGCAGTAGGGTCTTTCACTAATATAACTCCAATCCTGTATCTTCCAACATAACTCCAAATTCCACACGGTCTTACTCATCAGTACAGCTTCCCATTCCTAGCCTATACTTAACTCCCGGTACAGCAGAGTCTTGCCTCAATATAACTCCAAATCGTGTATGATCTTGCGTCAACATAGCTCCATATCCTACACGGTCTTCCCTCCCATTAATATAATGCAAATGTTGTAGGGTCTCATTAATTTGCCTTTGCAATACAGCAGGGTCTTCCACTAATAACTCAAATCCTGTACCCTCCATCATAACTCCATTCCACACGGCTTACTCTCAATACAACTTCCACTACTCAGGCGTATACTTAATTCCCAGCACAGCAGAGGCTTCCCACTAATATAGCTTCCAAATCCTGTAGGGTCCTCTCACTAATTTTTTCCGGATGCTATATGGGCTTACTCGCATTAATATAACTTCCAATACTTAGGACATATACTTTGTATCTCTCAACACCGTGGGGTCTTCCCACTAGTATAAGTTCCAACTCTTGTATGATCCCCCATCAATAAACCAAATGCTTTACGGTCTTACTTGCATTAATATGTTCAAATGCTGTAGGGTCTCATTAATTAACCTTTGCCATACAGCAGGGTCTTCCACTATAGCTCCAATCCTGTACCCTCCAATAAAACTCCATCCCACACGGCTCACTCTCAATACTCTTCCATGCCGATTAAGTTATTTTACATTAATATATGACTATGGGTAATAACAATATTATTTTAAATATTAAATATATATTAGTTTATTATTATATAAATGTATATATTTACTACTATTATTATTACTATTATCTTATAATTTATTATAGCTAGAATTTTATCTTTAACTATGAATTTAAATATTTTATTAGCGGCCGAAACCGAAGATAGTTCTTTCTTCAGGTTTCAATAATGATTTTCCAATTTTGCTAACTGATTGCTTTTTGTATTATAATTACGTCGACAAACTATCATATTTTTATGATGACCATATTTAATTCAATTATATATTTTTAGTTTTTGGTTAGTTGATTGTTGCCAATCAATCTGAATTAATCTTTTCTTGTTAATTGAGTTATTAACAGTCGATTTACAACTAATATAAAACAACAAAAATAAATCCGTCCATGTATATTGTGTGTTGTCCAAGCTATTAGCTTTCTCTTTAGGGAGTCAGTATTTACTACATATTTTTTTATATATAAAGTTAAATACCGTTGTCATTGGGATCATTCCTCCGCTCCTATAATAATTCTGACGAATAACCGGTTGTGTATTATTACCATTTCTACTTATGATAATAAGATTATTCCTTACTACATAGTTTTTCAATGTAAGCCAAGTGTTAAGAAGGTCAACAAAATTAAATCCATTAACAAAGGACTGTCTATGTGACTGAGACTTACATATTAAAGATTTCTTATAATAAGATATTAAAGTTTTATGTAGTCTTACACTTAGTCGTAAATATAAATTAACATAATGATAAATATGAAAGTTGTATACTCACGCCAGACTCAACTCCCAAAAGTAGGGTCTTTCACTGCCAGCACATCCGCTCCACGAAAGACATGGCCCGCACCCAGGCCCAGGTGCGCGGAACAAGACCATCATCGCAGCAGACATCCCCAATCCCCAACGCCACAACCCCAAACCAGCAAACCCCAGCAGCCAGCCAGACCAGACCCAAGCCCCAGGAAACAAAACCAACCACCCCCACCCATAAACCCCACCCAGAACCCCCACCCATAACCCCCACCCATAACCAGCCCTGTCGGGCGTCCTGCACACAGCGCGGGCCATCTCTCTTCTCGCAACTCCGGCCCCCGCCAGCGCCTCTTCACCCCCCACCAAATGGACGCCCACACCCTTCTCCAGTGCTTTGCCGGCACGCTCGAGCCGTCGCAGGCCGTGCGGCTGCAGGCCGAGCAGCAGTTGCGGCAGCAGGCGCTCAGCCCGGGTTTTCTCGGCGCGTGCTTGGACGTGATTGCGGCCAGCGGCGAGTCGCCGGGCCTCCAGAAAGCCGCGGCCGTGTACTTCAAGAACCGCGTGGTGCGCCACTGGACCGACGCGGGCGCGCCCATCGACAGCGGCGAGAAGCCCGTGGTGTTGGACCGCTTTGTCGGCGTGTTGGCGGGCGTCAAAGCCACGGCCCAGACACAGCTCTTGCCCGTGTTCCGGACGCTCGTGGCGGCCGAGTACCCCCGCAACTGGCCGCGCGTGCTCGCGGAGGTGGGCGCGTTGCTCCAGCAGCACGACGACGTGGCGGCCGTGCGCACCGGCGCGATGTGTTTTGCGGAGCTCTGCCGCTCGTACCGCTGGACCGAGAACCGCGAGCGCGAGGCGGAGCTCGACCCCATCATCTCGCAGGTGTTCCCGCACTTGCTCGCGGTGGGCGACGCGGTGTTGCTGCTGGACGTGTCGGAGCTCACGGCGGCCATCGTCAAGCACATCTTGAAGGCGTACAAGTTCGTCACGTACTTCGACATGCCGCGCGTGCTCCAGCTGAAAGACGCGTTGGCCGCGTGGGGCGACTTCCACTGCCGCGTGGCGTGCCTCGACGCCCCTGCGTACCTCCGGGCCGCGGCGCTGGACCTGGAGCGGGCGCAGACGCAGCTCGCGCGCTGCCACAAGTGGGCCGTGGCCAACATGGAGCGGCTCTTCCGGCGCTACGCGTCGCGTGGCCTCTCGCTGAAGCGGGACATGGCGGGTTTCCGGCGCGTGTTCGTGGCGGACTTCATCCCGCACGTCGTGGCCATCTACTTGGACCTTTTGGGCGGCTGGTGCCGCGGCGAGCGCTGGCTCTCGAGCGCGGCCGTGTACCACGTGCTCGACTTCCTCAGCCACTGCGTGACGCAGAAGGAGGCGTGGCGGCTCCTCGAGCCGTGCTTCGAGGACATCGTGGCGCACTTCGTGTTGCCCGTGCTATGTCCGTCCGCCGCCACGCTCGAGCTCTTTGACGTGGACCCCGCGGACTACATCAACTCCAAGTTGGACAACTTTGACGACCTGGAGCCGGACGTGGCGGCCTTGGGGCTCTTGGTCACGCTCGTGCTGAAGCGCAAGAAGACCACGGCCGCGCCCATCGTGGCGTTGGCCGTGCGCCAGCTCGCGGCCTTGAAGGCCGCGCCCGCGGGCTTGGAAAACGCCCGCCACACCGACGGCGCGTTGCGCTTGGTGGGCGGCATCTCGCACGTGCTCACGGCCGCGGGCTCGCCGTACCTTGCGCAGATGGAGGCGTTTATGGCCGAGTTCGTGTTGCCGCACTTGGACTCCGCCCACGACTTCCTCCGCGCACGCGCGTTGGACGTGTGCGCCAAGCTCGCGGACGTGTCCTTGCAGGACCCGGCCACGGTGCAAGCGTTGTACCGGGGCATCCTCCGCGCGTTTACGGCCGGCGCCGGCGACGCCGTCTGCTTGCCCGTGCTCTTGCAGAGCGCGTTGGCCGTGCAGGCGTACCTCCCGCAACAGCTGTTCCGCGAGGCGTTGGCGCCGCTCATCTTGCCCGCCATGGCCAAGTTGCTCGAGCTCTCCAACGAGATCGACAACGAGGCCGTGTCCGTGGTGATGCAGGAGTGCGTGGAGAGCTTTGCGCCGCAGCTCCAGCCGTTCGGCATCGACTTGATGGCCAGCCTCGTGGCGCAGTTCTTGCGCTTGGCCGCGGAGATCAAGGACGCCGCCGCCGTGGAGCCCGACGACTACGACGCCGACCACAGCGACGCACTCTCCGACAAGATCACCGCGGCGCTCGGCTTGTTGAACACCATGATCACCGTGTTGTTGTCTTTCGAGAACTCGCACGACGTGTGCGTCCAGTTGGAGCAGGCATTTGCGCCCGTCATCGAGTACGTGTTGGTGCACCAGTTGGACGACTTCATCGCGGAGATCGGCGAGTTGATCGAAAACTCCATCTTCCTCCTCCGCGCGGTCACGCCGTTGATGTGGTCCCACTTCCCGCGCTTGGTCGACCTGTTCTTGCAGGGCGTGGCCGTGATGTATGCCGAGGACATGGTGCCGTGCCTCAAGAACTACATGGTGTTCGGCGCCGCGGCGCTCGCCCACAGCCCGCCGCTCACCGCCAAGTTCATGCTGTTGATCGCCTTGATCAGCTCCGGCGACGACGGCTCGCCCGACTACACGGAAACCGCGCTCGCCTGCGACTTGGGCCAGACCTTGGTTCTCGCGTTGCAGCAAGCCTCGCCGCCCGTCATTGCCGAGCTTTGCCGCACGCTCTTGCCCGTGCTTGCGCCGGGCAACGACGACCCGGCCCACCGCAACGACTCCTTGCGCATCTCCCTGGTCGACTTCCTCATTGCCTGCTTGATGTACGACTGCCCCACCACCGTGCGCATGCTCCAGGAGTCCCAGTACTTGGACGCGTTCTTCGACCTGTGGCTCGGCTTGGTGCCCCAGCCCAAGCGGGTCTACGACGTCAAGTTGTTCATCTTGGGCTTCATGCGCATATCCAACAGCCCCGACGTGGCTGCCGCGGCCCCGTCGCTCACGTCTCGCGTGGGCCCTAGTCTCGCCGCCCTCTTCAAGGAATTGCCCAAGGCGCTCAAGAACTTGGACAAGCAGCGCGCCGAGTTCAACGAAAACGACTTTGTCCATGACGACGCTTTCGGCGCCGACTTTGCCGACTTCGACGACAACGACGCCCTCGACTCCGACAACGCCGACGCCGGCGACGCCGGCGACGCGGGCATCGACAACTACCGCGCTTTCCTTGACCATGAGACCAATAAGCTCATGGGCTCGGGCTTCGAGGACGACGATCAGATCATCGAGGACGTCTTGGGCGCCACCCCGCTCGACAACGTGGACCCGGTGGTTGTGTTCCGCGACTTCGCCACCTCGTTGCAGGAAAACAACCCACCGCTCTACGCGGCCATCTTCGACAACATCAGCGACAGCGATAGACAGGTGCTTGTTGATGTGTTCAAGACGCAGTAGGGGCCCGGGCCGTTTGCTCAAGCACGCCTTACGTACGCTTCCGCTTTGCGCTGAAATTCCATACTATCTGCGCGTCTATTTGCCGGTGCCCGGCTCGCTATCCGGACCCTTTGTATTTTTTAAAGTCGCAGTATTCATTACCTGAAGTCGTAGTGTTCATTGCCTGAAGTCGTAGTATTCATTACCTGAAGTCGCAGTATTCATTACCTGAAGTCGTAGTATTCATTACCTGAAGTCGTTTCATTACCTGAAGTCGTAGTATTCATTACCTCTGACGTAAATTTCATTACCTCTGCTCAGATGAAGTAGCTTCTCCAGAGTACACCCTCGAGGTCTTGCATCTGCTCTTCCGTAAACACCTTGCCGTCAATATGCCACGTATCCTGCCTTGTTTTCTTGAACTTGCCCAAGATTTCTTTTGCGGACCTACCCACTATGCCGGGGAGTCCAATCGCCTTGTTAGATAATATCGACAATGTACTGGGAACCCATGATGGCGGAGGGGAGACAAACGAGAAAGCATGCACCAATGCCCCGAGACCAAGGGTGGCGCCATGCAAAACAATAAAGTCATCAGCAGGTATTGATTTAAATTGGGTTTTCTTGTGCTTTCTCCTGACTTTATCCAAGTCCGCCGAGTATCGCTGATTGTAAGCCGTCACAATTTCCTGGATATCTCCTGGCGGACTGGAGTAAATCAACCCCGAAAACGTCGATGCCAGTGCCTCCCTTATCTCGGGGTTGCTATGGTACATCATCGAATTGATGAAGTTCAAGATCTTCATGCGTTGACCAAAACCCAATTTAAGCAAGTTCTTGAAATAAATAACCTCGGTGAATTCTCCAAGAGCAAGATACTGCAACAAGCTGAGGTTCTGCGTCATGTATCGCTCAAGCATTGACACCACGTTGTCGAGCGCCTTGTTTCCAAAAGGAATCTGCGATACTTTTTGGAATGCCAGGACAGGGTCAATGTTTCCTAAAAGACACACCTCCTTCATTGTCATCAAGTCTAGAAGAAATGGCATGAAATGCGTGTCCACCATAAATTGATATTGCACAGCAAAACTTGTGCTAAGCGCCTGTTTCAACCATCTTAAAGCTGTCGTGGCAGAATAAAAATACGCTGAGCTTAAGATCTCCTGAGTCGGAAGGTTTTCAACATCCTTCTTCAAAGCATTGATGTTCTCAAATAAATGTTTAAGCTTATCGAAAAGACTTTGATCAGTGACCTTCATGAGTAAAGCCTCTTGGTCGCCATGTGATGCATCAATAAAGCTCTTGGCATCGGGGAATGAGTTGCAGTAAAACGAGAAGGACGTGACAACCATCAAAGCACCAATTCGTTCCCGAATCGCTTCGTATCTATTGTTTACATTGTCGAAACAAAGATCAAGAATTTGATGAGGGTTGGGAGTCGCCCACGTCATTGAAGCAACTGCAGACTTCATGTACATCAACATGGATGCCTCCATGTAGGCGGCGTCTGAGTCCTTATCTATCCGGAAATTGAGAATTACATCCCTGACGCGTGGAAATCTTCTGGTATCAATATGTGTTGGTGTCCACCATGCAAATATATCCCATATTTGAATCGTTTCGGGGGTCAAATCATTTTGAAAGATATTCTCAAGAAAGCCGACTAGAAACTCGTCTCTTTGATCAATGAAATCGGGATTGAAATTTTTGGAGGCAATCAAAACACCTGTGACTAATTCACACACAACAATATGAGAACTCTTCTCTTCTTTGTTATACAGAGATTCAATGATGCTTAATATGTCACTGAATGAGACGCCCTCTATGATTCCGCTGCAAACCATGGACACGATACCGGCAGTAATGAAGACGTCTGTGCCTTGGAAAGCAAAATTAGAGTCATTGTCGGCTATCCATAAATCAATGACATTTTTTAGCCAAGTCTTTGTGATTTTCTTTGAAAAATGTTCAAGAGTTGCTCGATCATTCTCATTTAAGTTGAGCTGAAAGTGGGGCTCATTTCTCAAAACAACTGTCTCGCTATCCCAGAAAAGCCAACCCTGGCTCATTTTTTCATCAATGAAGTAACCTGGAGAAGTGCTCCTAATCTCTTTTTGCCAAGTTTCATAATAAGACTTGCCATCACGTGGCCGAGTGTCAATAACCTTAAAAGAGTCTGAGACAAACGTCGCTTCATAAGCACGTTCTAATTGATAGTTAAAAATCGACAAGCTCTCGAGCTTACTCAACAATTTCGTGATTCCTTTCAATGCTGTTCGTGATACAACTGGGTGGTCTGATTCAGCTGCTTTAGCAAGCAAATCAAGCACACTCTTTCGAGTCGGCATCTCATATTCAACCTGAAGTTCGATCAAAAACAAGATATTCAAAGAGCTTGTTTTCCAATGAGAATTCGTCTCTTCATATTTCAAGATTGTGTCCTCAATCAGTTCGAGTCTTTCGAGGTACACCGAACGCTTCTTTTCCTTCGCATACATAACTGCCTTGATTTCTAGATCGATGTATTCGTCGGGTGGACGAATAGTGTCCACAAGATTATGATCAATGAGACAAATCTTGTAAGGTGGATAAATTCTGCCACAAATATGATTTAAAGAGCGCTGTGAGGTTTCAATGACGTCTTTGTCGTCAATGGAAAAACATTTGTGTAGTATTTCAATGTATTGTTGAAGGTTGGCAAAATCTGTTTGCAATTTTGTCTTGATCCCCTTAATCTCAAATACATTCAAGCCGCTTTTAATGTTTTTATGATTGTTTTCCAGGATGGCCTTTGATACGCGGCGAAGGCAAGCGCGAACAATCACATTGTATGAGCCATTCACTCGTTTCATGGCATCGATCAATGTTGTTTGAGCCGGCTCTGCAATTGTAGTATACGTGGAGCACGACAACTTGGCAATATCTTCTAGGAGTACTCTATCCAAATCTGTCATCGAGCGAGACGTGCTATGCAATGCAACTCTTAACAGGTGGTATGATTCAATGCGACTAGCAAACCCTATTCTTGTGAATGGCTTTCTCACTCTATTGATATCTTGCAACTCTTTCACATAGTTCATTGAGATTCGTGCATGTGAAGGATCAAGCAAACGCTCGTGCCCAACATCTGAAAACCAGATGTTTAAAATGTAAAGCAAGTATCTGAAGAGCTTTGTATTATCAAGGAAGTGACACTGTGCAAACTTGCAGATGAAATGTAAGCTTTTACCCACCAAATGTCTCATTCGGTGGATTTCCAAATATAACAGGTTGGACTTTCGGGTCTCAATATCATCACCAAAATAGTATTTGCTGGTGTACAAGCTTCGCTCTCTGAACGTTATAGCTGGGTTCATTGAAGACAATTCCACACCTGCTAACTGGGGACTGGCTCTAGCAGAATCCTCAATAATAGGTGTTTCCGAAGTCCGTATATTCCTGGGTTCAAGATCATATGATCCATTTTCGGGGTTTTTGAAGGGGACACTTGCATCATGCTGTGGAGAATTGAGTTCTTTGACAACTATATCGTATTCGGACTCGTTCTTGCTTTCTGAATCATGGAAAACGACCTCTGGATGTCCCTTGATATCTTTGATGATGCTGTTTAAATCTTCGTGTATGCTCTCAATGTTAGGCTCATCATGGTCCGTTAACTTACTTGTCCCCATCTGTCTGATTTGAGACAAAAGTGCAAGTCTTGCCTGAATGGGCTCAAACCTATGATCACTCAACTTTGGGATGTCTTCATCAAAAGAAGGATCGAAGAGATATGACATTCCACTTAAGCAGTATCCCAAGTAGAGAAAATTGGCACGGATGTCGTCAGATAGATCCAAAGAGGAGGTTTGTTCATTGTCTTGCTCCTGAACCATGTTCTTCAACACAGTCAGAATGTTGGAGAGCGATTTAGTGATGTGTGACTTGAATGTGTCGACAGCAAACTCAATTTCGCGAGCTTTTGGAAGAAACCAATCAAAAGTAAGATTCTCATCTGAAAACCTATACTCATCAAACTGGAATCCGCCCCAGCACTTTTCGTTCAATTCATGTGCTTCTTTGTACGCTGGACTGATGAGTCTGCATTCCTTGAGCCGGATTTTTGTTGCACCCTGGAGAATCTGATTCAAGAGATGTGTGCTCGCGAGAGCCACGGAGCCTTTCACAGATTTCATAAGGAAGAAGGAAAGGTCATTTAATTGCTCACCCATATTCACAATGTACTCACCAGCATTTCCAACACAAGAATTTAAAATCATCAAGTTCCAGAAAAGATTTTGATCTCTAGGAATGATATCCATACCTGAGCGAGACTGACCAGCCCCATTATCAGAAATTTCTTCTCGAATGTGCTCAATAAGTATTGGACCAAGCTGTAGGAAAAATTTGGGGTCTCTTTTGATTATCGCCCCGCAAATCTCAGCTGTAGCCTCTGTCGCAGGATGAATTGTGATGTCAGAGATAAAGTCCACCACCTTTTTTCTGAACATCACAAAGACCTCATCGGACATTGCCTCGAGAACCATGTAAACTAGCCGAGGCAACATTTCAGAGAGATACTTTTCAATACCCGTACTTTTCGCAGGGTCAGGGAGGTACTCTAGAAGAACAAACAATCTTTGAGCAAAAGATTGCACGATGAGAGGAAACGAAGCGGTAGATGACTTAAGAGCAAGTATCTCGGTTTCTGAATCGATAATTAATTCGTTTGAAGCACTCACATCATAAAGCTTTTTCAGGAGATACTCAATATGCATATTTGTAACTTCCATAGCTAACATACCATCACCCGTGCCATGAGTGAGATCAGCAATTGGAACAAAATTAGCCACAGTTGAGAAGACGGCGAGAGTATCGACTGTTTTCATTAGGTCATTAGAGTCAATCCCTGGCAACATCATTTCAAGAATTCGAGGTAAGTGAACACGGTAAAGAGGAGATACTGCAATAAAACGGGTGAGTTCACCCATGCACCTCAAAGCTGTCTTCACTCTGTGTGTGGAAATAACACCTTGTAGTGACTCATAGATATCAAGTAGAAGATAACCCAAGGTGGTTTCAGCATCCAAATGAGCCAAAGGGGCAAGAGTGAGTAGATATTGCTCCACTGCACTTTCCTTTTTGGACTGAAGCCCTGTTCTCACTATGGGAAGAATGATACTAACAAAGCTTTTCACCACCTTATCTGAAAGTTTATGTGTCTCAGCCAAAGCATACAACTTCCCATCAACCTCTCTTTCCATGTTGTACCTCTTTGCAAATTGATGGACAAGACTCATTATCAACTTACCTATTGGTTTTGACCACTCTCCGCTATTGGATGGATGTACGTAACTTTCAATTGCGTTCACAAATGTGCCTATCTGGTCTAGAATACCATCTTTCTTACTAGAGCTGTGTCCATTTAAAGAAAAGACAACCATGTTACTAAATCCATGGAAGAAATTAGTTGTCATCGAACCGAATTTGTCTGGCATTATGCTTAAACTGTTTAAAATCGTGTTAGTAAGGAATGAAAATTGGTTGTTCGTGAAAACACCAAAGTCGCCGAAATTTATGCTATCTTCCGGATGTTGAGCCAAAAATTGAAGATAGCACAACGTAAGCCTTCCTAAAACACAAGTCAGGTGGGTGTCTACACCAGGAAGTTTGCTTAACTTTTGCCACATGAAGAAGACAGGTGCAATATAATGACGGAGATCAATCTCTGTATTAGATTCCGCCGCTGAGAAATTCACAATAAATGATTGCGGTAATATCCTCATGCACCAAAGAACCATAGTAGCATTTGGAATCGAGAATTGCGACGCGATGTGACGAAAGAGAGTCGGGAGAGACTCTGGGGCGAAAAAGTTCGATGCCCGCTCGCCGAGTTTGAGCAACAAGCTCAACTCTTTTCTTTCGCGGGGTTCATCTGCAGAGTCGGCAGTCGGGAAATGAAGGCGAATCTCGTTGTAAACAGGCTGCCAATCTAAGGAAAAGCCCTCATCCTTCAAGAAATCGATGTCTTTTGTGAGCTTTTCAAATGCACGAACATATGTTTTTAAATTCAAATGCTGTCCACGGCAGCAGCATATGGCAAAGTATACCTTGGCAAGAGCCATACGCAAGGATACAGGCATATCGTACTTCATCTGGAGCCATACAAGCAATTCGTGTGTCCAGATGCGCACAGATACAACTGCTGCCAGCCGGGGTGACTTTTTGTGGCGACTACCAGACTCGCCTGTGTCGTACTCAGCCTGGTCGTCGTTCTCAGATTCCTCCTCGTCGGCAGAGTCCAAGTCTGCCATGGCGTCGTCGAGAACTGCGTCATCCGCAACGAGTTCGGGATCACGGGGCGATGATTTTGCGCTACCAAGCTCGAATAGGTCTGTCTCAAGCGCCAAGTCAATGTCCGAAAACCCCGGGGCGTCTTTCAATGAAGCCAAATCTTTTGCCGATACAGAAATCAGACCCTGGATGTCAAGCAGCTTGACTGCAATATACAAGTGCGCCACAATATGTGCAAGAAATCGGGCTCTTTCATGAAGCGGCTCGGCCTCATAGGGAAGAAGACCCGGTAAGTCCAAGTGCCGAGGTCTGGGCCGAGCGTAGAAACGGGACTTTGGGTCTAATAAATTCCGCGCTGCCTGAGCCTGGTCTTTGGCATAATCCAAGTTATAGTGCTGCTCACGGCCGGTCTCAATGGTACCATAGGAGGGCCTTCTGCGCAGTCTGAGGGCCTGTTTCGTTGTCGGGGTGAACTCGCGGGTGCCGGCGGAAAACGGGGACGGCGAAGGAGGTGGGTCGACATTTCTTGGCGAATTTTCTTGCGCAAGCACCGCCAGCGCATGAGTGTGTTTGGGCACTGGCGCATGGACGGCATGCGGGTCATTGTCCTTTGTGGAACCTTGGAACTTGGTCATAATCAGTTGGATTCCGTGGGTTCGTGGGCAGACTCCGGGGTATTGTGGGCCTTCTGCGCATGCTTTTCTCGCCGCTGGCGTTGGTGCAGGGATGTTTGGCGAAACGACAGCTATCTGCAGGATCGGTGGATTGTGCTGCGGGTGCAAAAAATTGAGTGGCTGTGATTTTGGCAGGGCCCGCATATGGCTGCATTTGTGGTCGCGTGATATCAAAAAAAAACCTGATGCTGCAAAAGGAAAAAGGGCCTTTATATGTATTTTTTGACCCCGGGAAAAGTCGGGGAGCATGTGATTCTATGGCTCGGAGAGACGCATAATTTGGTCGTTTTGTTGTAGCTTAGAGTTGAGTATTAAGAGGCAAAAAAATGACACCACAATGACAGGAATGTGATTTGGAGTCTTGAGCTCTTCTTTTAAAAGTGTGCTGCCATGAAGTGAAGCTGGGAAGGCGAATGGCCTTTTAGGAATGTCGCAAAACTAAGTTTTATTCTAATCGGCTTGTCTATTCATCTTTAAAGGCTGATATATTGACATTATTCATGGTTTTCTTCGTATGGAGTCACTATGTTAATGTTTTTGAAGCTTTAAAACAAGGTATCAGGAGGCAATGCCTATGACGCACGCTCCCAAGTAGCTTGTTCAGACTTTGAGGCGCTCTTTGCTTAAGCTCAAATCTACACACAGACAATACTTGAAACGTTTAAAGTTTTACAGATTGCATCTGATGTTTGCTAACGGTAATTTTGCGATATTTCCAATACTACTCAGTTCATGACCTGATGCGCACCAAAATGCCCTCTTTTTTTGACGGGTTGTATAAATCCTTGCGCCAATTCTTTCAAGTAAAAAAAATTCAAAAACGCTCAAAAGCTTTCTCAGCACTATACCAACTGGATGAAATAACAATGATTAAACCTCGAAAACACTAATCATTTTTTATTGAGGGCAGAAAGACTCCTGTATGATCTTATCATCGTGTGACCCAAAATTATAACTGGTACGTTCTGACTTCTTTCGGGAGTACGGGTGTGACTCGAATGCAAGTGAAAATGAAGATGTGAGTACAAGCAGGGTCCTGATCTCTTTTAACTGCGTCAAACATATATTCAGGAGGCCGCTCCACTGACGCACCCAATCAAGAACAACGTTTCGAAACGCCCCACAACAGATGTTCTAGCTTTCTTAGAACCGGGCTGAAAAATCAAGGGTCTTCCAGAAATAGGGACTATTTTCACCGATTGCTCATCATTTTCCTTGCATCTCGATCATCTGCTGCACCTGCTGCCGCATGAGATCCTTCAAGTCCGAGACGTCTGCTTCGAGTTCCGCCACTTTCTCAGACTTTTCGCCAATAACCTCCAAAAGCGTGCTTTCGCGTCGAGACTTCTCATCGAGCTCGTTCTGCAAAGACAGGATGTGGCGCTCTAAATCACACAACTGGGTATCTAGCTCGAGCCTGTCCAAAACGGCCCGTTGGGCAGTCTCGATTTCCAGGCTCAACTGCTCGTTTTCATCGCGTAGAGTCAGAATCTCCACCTCCAAGCGGCGAATGCTGGCACTCATTTTGTTGATGATCTGAATGTGCTTGGTGGCCCCCGTACTATGCGAGCCCAACGCGGAACTCAAGGGTGTCTCGCCCACATCTAGCGCTTCCGAGGGGTATATTTCGTCGTTGGACATGAACATCGACGGGTTGTGGCTCTCATAAATATGAGGGTCAAGCTCATTTTCAGAAATATAGCTGGGTTCACCCCAGGCCTGAGCGGGAGTGTTCAAGGCGGAGCTGGCCACGGAATGCGCAGACGATTTCCGCTGTTGGGACTGCCGCTGGTCTATGGTTATGTGGAGGCCCCCATCACGTACGCCTCTGCGGGCTTGAATCCCAGCTAGATTGTCGAAAGAAACCGACGGCGTGAAAGTGGGGGTCAGGTTCTTCAAGCTTTCAACGGCTTCGTTCAAGCTCTGGATCTTGGCGTCGTAGTTCTTGCGGTCTGCGCCAAACGCAGTCCTTAGGTCGTCGATTTTGTCCTCGAGCTCCGCACACTCGGCGCTCTTGATCTGGACCCGGACTTCATTCTCGGCGTTCTGCTCCGCCAAGGCCGCCAGCTCGGCCTTGAGTGCTTCGATTTCATCGAGCTGTGCATTGAGCTTGGCATGAAGTTTCTTGAGCTCGGCTCCTGATTTGGCCCGCGACGTTTTCAAGGTATCCACCGAGGCTGAAAGGGCCTCCACTTTGCCCTGAAGACTCGACTCGATGAGCTTCCAGGTTTCCTGCAGCGACACGTACTGCGCCTGCAAGTTCTGATGGGTTTCGGACAACTTGAGAAAGTCGGCGTAGTCTACCAGTTTTTTAGTGCTGGTGCTCGCATCCGGATCCTCAGATGCGTCGGCGGTATGTGACGTTTTGAGGAAGCTTTCGTTCTCCATGCGCAAGCTTTCAACCTTGGCCTCCAAACGCAACACCTCGGTACTGCTTTCGTCTTTGGCAGCCATGATCTCGTGGTTCAACTGCGCGATAATCTCTGTTTTCAGCTCCAATTCGAGCCGGGACTGGTTCTGCAAAAGCTCGAGCTGCACCTTGGCCTCGCTGAGCTGCCGCTTGCAGTCTTGCTTCTCATCAAGCTCCTTTTCGAAGGCACGCTGGATCTCCTTGTACTTGCCTTCCCAGTTGCATGCTTTCTGCAGGTCAAGGGCCTTTTGGAGATCGGAGTTTTTCTGGCTGGCCGCAGCCAAGACGTCGAAAAGCTGGTCCACGGACTTGAGATTGTGCACCTTGACCAAATCCTCGATCTCGCCGAGTTTAAGAAGCAGCTCCTCGTTTTTCTCCGCGTAGCTGCGGAGCGAAGCTTCGAGTTTGGTGTTGTTGGCTACGAGCAGCCGGATGCGCTCGTTTAGCTTCAACTCTTTTTTCGAGAGCTCTTGGCCTTCCTCCATGAGCTGCCGGATGGTTTCCTCCTTGTCCAGCACTTTTTTCTCGCTCTGCACAAGGAGCTTCTCTTTTTCGGCCAACTTCCGTTCCACGTCCTTGTTTGGCGCGCCGCGGCGCGCCTGGGCAGCGTGGTTGGCTTTGTGGCTTTCGAGCTTTGATTTAAGCGCCTCGATTTGGGCCTGGAGCCGGCGGATCTGGTCGTCTTTGGCGTCGCTTGGCGACTCGTCCAAGACCTGATGAAGATGGTTTGGCGACACCGCCCGATCACGTGCGCCGGGCTCAGCGGGGGCGTCGTTTTTGTGTTCAGCCTCCAGTGGGGGGTCTTGCTCCAAACGGCTGCCACTTTCGGCATTTTCGGGGGGTGTCGGCGGGTGTGCCGTGCCGTCTGCAATTGACCCATCGATGGTCGTTTGGCTATCGTCGTTGTGTTCTCCAGGCGCGGCTTTCGATTCTTCTTTTTGCACCCCTGGAATCCCCGGGTCTTCTGCATCAGATTCGGGCCTCAGCCCCGGAGACTCCGGGCTTGTGGCGGATGCTGGGGCCAGCCCAGTTGCGGCTTTCTTGCGTTTTGCCTTGGCGGCGGCTGCCAAACGCTCCTGGAGCGTCAACCGCTTGGGCTTTTTCGGCGCAGAGACTTGTGGTGCTGCGGGCTCGGGTGAGCTTTCTGACATAGCAGACTGCTCCTCGTCAGACGCCATTTTGGTGGACCAGAGACGGAAACAAAAGAAGATCGGTGATGTATGGGAAGAATGCGCCCACGGCTCACGTCAAGCGCGGTCACGTGACCTGCCGTCTATGGCCTGTGCTGGGTTCGGGGCCTGTGCTGGTGTATCTGGAAAAAAATATGAAAGCTTTCATTTGAGGGATGTGGTGTTACGAGGCTTGCCAAAAATGGAAATTTCGGGAAACTGGCTGTATGGAAATGCGACTGGCACTTCCGTTTCCGCTCTCGCGGAGCATGGAACCGAGCAGACGTGGGAAATTACTAGGACGACTGTAGGGCAGAGAGCGGAGAAAGCAAAAATCCAGCATTTCGGCGGATTGTTGCTTTTCAAGTCTGCTGGTGTATAGGGCGCCATGTCACGAAGGCGTAGAGTACGCTCTGACTGCTGGGATTCATGAGGGAATGTCCATGAACATTTTTCTTAGATGTCTAGTATTTTGTTTGGGCTCATTATCTGTAGAGCTAACTGAACACAATGATCACGGAGACATTGCCGATTTCAAAGACGGCAGCTAGGTCCAAAACAAACCACCGCAAGTATGCCCAATAAAACGCCAACTCTAGAAGCCAAATCAACCAGCAATATCATGCAAGACACAAACCCCATGAATTGCTATAATCGAAAGACAGTCCTTGAGGAGTTTTCTGCGCACGTATAGCTTGAGTTTTGACATTTGTCCGATTTGCGCCAAAAGATTCAGTATGTATCAAGGACGTCAGAGCTTGCTTTGCATACTCATCTCCATTCTATTTCTGGAAAGTGTTGTCTCTACGATTCCTTCAAACTGACTTCTCAAGCCCGTACTTTCACGCCTTGTCCATTTAAACATTGGTCAAGGCCTTCTGTTTTGAAGGAAGGCTCAATGGACAAATTTGCAGCTTGTAGGGCACAGTCGAGTTTTGACGCCAGGCCACGGTAATTTACAAGACACCAAATGAAACGCCTGTAGAATTGGTTTTTTCAAGAGACACCAGGACTCCATGAGCCATGAAAAAGACTAGACACGTATTCCCCTAAGTAGGGCCGCTTTTGGAAAGTCGTCAGCCAGATTCAACAGGAGTGCCTGTTTGGTAAAGGCCTTCGTTGGTGTTTCCCAGACCTGCGGTTCACCTCCAGATGCAACCACTGACTCCAGGACTTATGCCGGAAAAAAGGGCTTTAAATCCTGAGATTTTCTTTTGTCCATGCGGGCTCCTGGACTGACGTGGGGCCCGGCCGTCTTCATGCGAGGCATGAACCAATAGAGAGGGACGAAATACGAATGCGCTTGCGCCTAAAAATAGAACTGGCAAAAGGCAATTTCCACATGTCCAACAACGAAAACACACTAAAAAGGCTTGTGGGCTGGCCCGGCTGTGTGGGCAATTTTTCTGAGCTCTTCTCGTCGTCTGCCATTTCGAAAGCTTACATTCAAATAGCACGCCGCTAGTTCCGGGGTCTGTTTGTCAGCTCAGGCTGTTGTTTCGGGGTCGAGGTGAACTTTTGCGTGGAGCCAAGAAATGTATGACAGGAGGCTGAGCCCTTAGGACCATTTACATCAACAGCAGGATCCCCGCTTTCCGTTCACGGCCAGTCTTTGCTAGCGTACGTCTCGTGAGTGCCTCGACTATATTAGTTGTGTTATATCTTCTGCGGGCCAGTCGAATAAAAGGAATCGATGTGATGGATCCGGGCTCTTTTGGTACATACTTTCTTGCCGGAAGTATTAAGTCCACGGACAAGCTTATGGGTGGGTTTGATAGGGGCTGAACAAAACAGACAAATAAAAGCGTATTCATGGCCGGCCAGACAAACATAGGGAATGAATGCGTGCTTTTGAGACAGCCGTGGAGTGCAAGTACGTGGTTTCAGACCACCTCTATACTTTACTTTGTCTCTTGCTTCTTATATTATTGGTTTGTTGTGAAAACACCAAGACAATCGGAGCGTGTTCATGCCCGGCCAGACAAACATGGGGCTGGAATAGAGAAGAGAAATACATTAATAAAGTACAGGGTCTTGAGTAGCAGTAAGAGAGCATCTTCCATTCTCTGGCACACTATCATTTCGAAGAAATGCATGTTATGACCTGCTTTCCTCTTTGCATTTGCCTAAACCGGCTTGGAATATATACTGTTGACGACTAGTCGTTGTGGATGAGCTGAGCAATATATGATACTATTCTCAAGTTTGGATATTGACGTCTTGGGGCTTCACGCTCTACTTTTTTTGAATAAATCGGAGTTCGGGGCTTTACTCAAGCTCTCCTCCAAGAGCGCCTCTCAGACTGCTCCAAGAGATATGGATTCCTTGGAAGAAACTATTACGTGCTTGCCGGACAGTCATAGGGTATGATTACGTGCTTTTAGTCAGCCTATATACTTTGTTTTAGCTTTTCTTTCTTTAGGTATACATGGGACTGAAGGAAACCAAGAGTCCAGAGCGCATTCATGGCCGGCCAGACAAACATAGGAACTGAATGCGTGTCTGCCTGATGACCGTAGTGCAATTACGTGCTTTCCAGATAACCATAGAGTATGGCTACATGCTTTCAGAGCGCCTATATACGCTGTTTTGCTTCTTGCGTCTTTTATTATTGGTTTGGTGTGAACAAACAAAGACAAATCGGAGCGTGTTCATGGCCGCCATACTAACAGCGCATAATTACATGCTTTCAAACCACCCGTATACGTTGCTTTGCTTCTTGCTTCTTATATTATTGGTTTGGTGTGAAAAGACCAAGATAATCGGAGCGTGTTCATGGCCGGCCAGACAAACATAAAGCATGATGACGTGCTTTGCTGACCATTATAGAGTATGGCTACATGCTTTTAGACCGCCTATATACATTGCTTTGCTTCTTGTTTCTTATATTATTGCTTTGGTGTGAAACAATCATGACAATCGGAGCGTGTTCATGCCCGCCATACTGACAGCGCATAATTACATGCTTTCAGACCACCCGTATACGTTGCTTTGCTTCTTGCTTCTTATATTATTGGTTTGGTGTGAAACACCACGAAAAATTAGAGCGTATTTATAGCTCGGCCAGACAAACAGCGCATAATTACATGCTTTCAAACCACCTCTATACTTTGCTGTCTTTTGCTTCTTTCGGGCAGCTGTAGAATAACTACGGAGCCCATCCAGCAGGGGGCTGCAGCCACAAGCAAGGACAGCTGTGTCATTTTCAATGGCCTTGGAACCAGGCAAGTCTATTCCAGGCACCAACCCAGAATTACACCCGAGCAAGTTCCTGCGCCCGAACAATACAACTGCCCACCCCGTGAATGTAGTTCAAGCAGTAACAAAGACATCCTCATCTCCACGTAACTTGTGGAAGTGGACCTACCTCTCCAAATCCATGCAGCTCAGCCAGCCCTCACATACCCAGCCCACCAAAACAGAACAGAACTCCACCCCATCTACAGACACAGCCCATCTACAGACACAGCCCATCTACAGACACAGCCCATCTCATATGCGTTTCTAGGCTACCCCATATATACGCGCGTGGGCAGCAAGCGCCAGGCCAAAGTCTATAAACCCATCCGCGGGCCCGGCCAGGCCCTTCCACCTACACCCTCCAGCACGCGGCCCACCACCATTACAAACACGCCCACCTCCACCACCGCAAACACGCGGCACGTGACTAGCGGGGCTTGCTGATCATCGACGGAATCAGCGGCAAGCGCACGGCGCTTGGGCTCAGCAGCCGGAGCGCCGGGAGGCTCAAGCCCGGCTGCTGCCACGACGACACCCAGGGCTGCGGCGAGGCACTGGCCACGGCATTCCGGGGGGGCGTCACGTGGCCCGGCCCGATGGGCAGGACGCATGCTGGCGGTGTCCCTGAATACGGCCGGATAAGGCCCGCGCCGTCCTCGACACGCAGCTCGTCGCTGGACGCATGGCCCGCATGCGCTGGCGACGCAGCGTCCACGTGCTTGAAGTCGTGCTTGGACTTGCGCAGCCCGTGATTCTTGGTGACGATGTGCGTGTTCAAATGGTTGAGCGACCCGTAGCTCTTGGTGCACCCCTGGAAGCAGCAGCTGTATTTGCGGTGGATCTGGTAGTGGCGGCGCCGGAACCGGCGCGGCTTGGGCGGGTAGCCCGGCACCGGCGCCTGGACCGGCAGGGGCGCCGGGCCAAAATACGGATTGGGCGGTGGCGGCGCATGCGGCCGGCTGTCCGCCACCTGCGGCATGCGCTGCGGCGGCAAGTACGCCATGTAGCTGGGCGGAACCGGCGCCATGTGCTGGGGCATCACGTGCATGCCCGCGTACGGCGCCCGGTACAAGTTGGGGTCGCCATACGCCAAGTTGGGATCGCCATAGGCCAAGTTGGGGTCGCCATGCGCCAAGTACTGGGGCCCTGGGGCCTGCAAATACGGGTACTGGCCTGCGCCATACCGCATGTAGTAGGGCGGCATGCGCGGCGACTCGTACGGGGGGCCCACGGCCGGGACATGCTGCATCCGGGGCATTTCCATGGCAGCCACGGGGGGCACTGGCGGTGCTAGGCTTCTCTGGTCGTTGAGGATCATGGGAATGGGGGCTTTGCGCTGGGGGTTCTTGTCAGCAGTCATATACCGGCAAGGCCGAAGCGCGAGGCAAGAACGCTGCGGTGGCCAGTCTGAGAGACTTTGCAGAGGCAAGATTTGGTTGCGTGTTCTGGCACTTTAGATCCACGTGGAGGCGAAAGGACACTGATGTAGGCCAGAAAACAGGGGCTCGGCAAACGCAAGGATGCCAGACGGACGCGAACAAGAAGGGGGTACAAGAAAAAAGAAAACACCCGGCGCCCAAGGTGGTGGCAGTGGGCGGGCTCATACGAAGTGCGGATTGTCCGTTTGTTATATCGTCCAAATATTCGATGGTTTTTTTTCGGGACGTGATAAACATGCAGTTGCGTCACTAGCCCTTACGCCAGCAGGGCGGGTGCATGTGCATGCGTCGCTTGGCTGGAGGGCTGCATATCTGCATCTATTCATTGCGAGAACAAGTGCCGTACCACGGCGCGTGCAGGCGCTTCCACGTATATGCCTGCTCGGAGATACTTCGGGAATTGCCGCATCTGCACAGAATTGGGAATCCTGATACGAACAACCACATGCACATCCGCCATGGTCACAAAAGCCACGACGTTCGTGGAATTGCTGTTTAGCATTGGGCGGCTTGTGCTGTGCTCGAACCACAACCTCTCTGGAACGCACTCCCTTTCGCTCCTGACGCATAAACGCATGCTGCCACGTCGAAATGCTCCAATGCATTCCTCCAGACTTAAGCGAGGGAGCGTTTGGCGCCATATACAGACGTGCTACATCAGCGATGACGTCTCTGAATAGTGCTATTTAGATGACCAGGCTGCATTGCGCTACTTGATTGGATGCTTACCAACCAGAAGGAAGAAGCCCCGTGGTCGGCCAGCTTATCATCAGAGAAAAAAACTTCGAGTCACCGAAACATGCTAGCTCCACAGCCACGAGCCATCGTGGCCTCGGCGAAAAAGAAGCTGTCAAAACCATGTGACACTTTGTTCGTGAAGCTGCTTGCGAATCGCACATTTAGATCCTCGTCAAGTTTGTGGTCAAGCATAGTGAGTCCCGAAATTCCATCCAAAACTTGAGGTGAAATGATGCCCCGCACATGCAGAAAATGCAGTGATGCCGAGTTCCATTTAAGAAATTTACAATCATTGTTGTTTTTCATGCAAGTAAGTACTACATGCAGCCCTGGCGCAATGGAGTTGCGGAAGCACCGCTGTTAAAACCACGTGCCCTTGCGCTCTTTAGAAAGGTTTGAGTCAGAATTAAAGAATCGTCTGAAATATAAAAGATACTCTGACCGCAAACACGCCAG